TTCAACTCTCATGACAACATTTTCCTCTCATCCTTTTCGAGACCAAATTCTTGTGAGAAAGGTATTAAAGAAACTCGCTCCAAGCTCTACTCACTGCATAGGTTAGTTTCGTAAAATTGTATGCGCATTTATCTCATAGCATTCACTTAACGCAAAGACCAATCTTAAGCGGATTCTTCTACTATGTTGAGCAGTCAGAAACCGACATGCCTACCATGCAAGTTTAAGAGAACCAGGACTTCCTGGTACATTGACTGCTCTCGATCCTTTTGGTTAGCTTACGGCGACAGATTTCCGGATTCCACAGGTGATATTTGCCTACAGCTACTGCACTCCACATTCGTAAACGCCACTTTGCATTTAAGACTTTACGCAACGCTGCTACACTCTCCGCTTTCGCTTGTAACCCATTCTGTCATATAAAAGCTAATTTATGACCCATACTCTCTTTCCTTATCAGGTTGGGTAGCCATGCAACATATAAAGTTGCTAATGTGTACATCATATTACATCATAACTCAAAAAAATCAATTGTCTTCTGGGAGTATGAAAAGGATTACTGTATTAATTGCATAAATTATCCAAACAGATATCAGTGAGTATTTAAGAGAAAGAAATCAAAATGAGACCAAGTTACACACCCAACTTAAAGTTTCAGCATATCTCAGATCATCCGTACCTATAAAAATACTCCCTTCAATAATTAAGAGGAAATTTGTTTAGAGTAGGTGTCAAAGCTATCAATAAATCTTGAATAAAGCTTCCATTTATCTTAGATAGCATAAACTGATGTATTAGTAGGCCTCACGTTGCACTTAGCACTGCTTACCAAAAGGTATTCTCAGTCAAAGCGGACTTTAATTTTGCCCTTGCCTGGTTATCAGCAGCATACAATGGAGCTCAAACCAGGGTATTGCAGGGTATAACCTAGACGCTTTATAGCCACATCTGTCATGTGACCCAGGAGCGCTTATGTGAATGTAGTGTGGTAGTTACTTGTCGAGATGATACGCTGTAATACACAAATTCGGATCCCCCTGGGATTGCCGATAAGACCTAGGCGATGTAGTAAGTTCAGCCTATCTTGGATGAAGGAAAGGCTCACTCATATAATTGTGGGGAAATTCAACTAACAGTCCTTTATCACCTTATGTGGCCTAGAGTGAATTGAACTCTCATTGAAGGGATAGTTGCTAAACTCTGCCATAAAAAGGCTTTAAATATCGCTTAAGTAGTTTGAATTATGATTTTATCTTAACGTTATTCTAAGCCGGATTTGAGGTTTTAAAAACGTTTTATTCAGATGGTAATGGATAACGACCTTGATCAAATCCGTAGGGCTGGAGATAAACTGAGCAGCACCGCCAGATAAGATCCCAGATAGGGCTGAACGCCAGAAAAAGCCGAATTCCGGTTCCGTTCCAAGTAAACGAGGGTCCCTTATTTGGATAGTTGTCTCACGTCGTGAAGCGAAAAAAGTAACTCGCCGAATTCGTGACCGCGCAGCCGAGCTGGCGGGAGGAATACGAAGAATATCTCTGCTAATTACTTCGTAGAGGGGCATCCTCGCACCCGTGTACACTAGCTCAAAGGTTAATAAAATAATAAAAGATAGACCTTTCATTAAAAGGTAAATAGGCAACATAATAAAAGATCAAAAGATATTTCTCATATCGAAGCAAAATTTTTAAAAAATATATTACAATATCAGTGATGAATAGTCAAAGTTATAGCTGAACTAGCTTCAACAAATCAAATATAAGTAACCATATTTAGAATAGTGAAAACATAAATGTAAGGTCATTCGAAACTAAGTTGATAGCCAAAAAAATTCCTTAAGAAATTTATATAACATACAAGCTGGTCTAAATAAAAAAAAGATAACGAATAGCTAAGCAGATCAATATGCGAAATGAAGACGCATCAACCCCAAAAGTGAAACAATCAAGAAAAATCAATTGATATATTTATAGCCGAAATACCCTACAAGCCTAATTCCCCCAACAATGGCACAAGACTCTACAACAACCACCCTCAGTAACGCGAAATA